GTCACGTAGGCCTAAGCTAACGCCTTGAGAGGACACGAGTAGAGTTGCCAACTTAGCGACTTTGTAGCTAGATCTAGAGCTTTTTGTTTTTTTCTAGCCACATTTTAGAGCGATTTGCGACTTGTCGCAAATCTAGAGATATCCACAGAAATCTAGCGACTTTCTGGATACTTTTGGACTGTCCATGAAAACTCAGTTTTCCTAATTTCGAGCCATAATATATAGCAACGGGGTTACAGGGACAATACATTTGAACGGGTTGAACTCAAATCAACTTGGTCAACTCTTACCTGACAACATTCGTGTGCTGCAGTCTATTTCTTTCTGAGTGCCGATGAATGCTTGAAGCCTATTAAATCAGATATACTTGGTTTGGCACACTTATTTACAGAAGATTCCAGCACCCTTACCAAGATTGATTTCCAGTGGAAAAAACTGCATCACACAATCTGGACAGAAACATCTAACACCCTAAAATTGTGGTCAGAAGTGGCAAATTACAGAGATGCGACCGGTGAAAACCCTTACCATGATCTGGCTGAAATTGCACTCGCCGCCTTATCTCTTCCGCATTCAAACGCAGATGTAGAGCGCACATTTAGTAATATGAACTTTGTGAAATCAAAATTGCGCAACAAAATGAAACTATCGACATTAAAGGCAATTCTTACAATAAAGTATGGGTTAAAAAGACAGAACACCTGTTGTGCAAGTTATGAACTTCCTAGTGATATTTTAAGAAAGATAGGGACTGTGGAGGCATACAGTTACAAGAGAACCTGAACCAAGCACTTCACATGCTTCCAGCTCTACAGTTGTTCACACTGCCGACGACTACGAAGAGGACTGGGATGCAATTACTATTGAATAATAGGTAAGTGTGCACATTAAACTTTACAAAAAATAATAATTTTATTTTTACATAATGCATTTTATTTATACTGAAAGGGGGGAATAATAGCTAGCGACTTTCCATGGAAGATTTAGCGACATTTAGCTAATTTTAGGTACCAGCCTATCGACATTTGAAAATCCGAGTTTCGCAACCCTGGACACGAGGCGGGCTCTCTTTCAGTGACGGAGAAGCATTCAGACAAACAAGACGTCCCTACGCGTCCGTCCACAGAAATAGTCACGTTGCCTAGTCACCTGTGTTGCACTATTGCAGTATAACAAGTAAGTCTCATTCGATCTCAGACAGGGTTAGATAGGGCAGTGGTAAAGTTAACAAGAGCTAACAGTGAGTTCATTTCAGGGTTTCCGTCAGAACTCACTTGACTGTGAGAAATTGACTGCGAGAGTGATGACTGCGAAAGATTGACTGCCGTTGATGATTGAGGGTGGCGATTGTCGCCATTGGACCGATCAGTGTAGGCCTGTCACTGTTTAGCGGGGTATCAAAGGATCTCTTGAGGGAATCTAGCCGTCTGGGTGCCCAGCTGACGACGGGACGATCGTTGGGGTCATCAGTTCTCCTCTACCTCGGCTCACAATACCACATGTTTCAAGCAGCTTAGTGAAACCCTCTTTCTAACGGGAAGCTAAAGCTTCTCTCAACTGTACAAGGTCTGATTGGCTCACTCCCTTCCGCTTTATGGATGTGCCGGGGGTAAAGTGAAGCTAGCTGAGTGATACAGGGTCGCACACTGAGACCATGAGTCTAGGGGATACCTAGAGGAACCTTTTATCTCCCTTATTACGGGTGTATGTTGAGTTGGGTGGAGCATGGTTCACGAGTATTGGTGGACCCAGTAACATATCAATAATAGTGACTATATTTGTGTGAATACCATTTCTCAGTTACATAAGAACATAAGAATGGAGGAAACTGCAGCGGGCCTATTGGCCCATACTGGGCAGTCCCGTTTACACCCAACCCCTATTGCTCATATAAGCATCCAACCTATGTTTGAAGCTATTCAGCGTATTCGAGTTAATGATGATATTTGGTAACTTGTTCCATTCACCCACTACTCTGTTTCCAAACCAGTGTTTACCGATTTCACGCCTAAATCTAAATTTATCTAATTTAAAACCATTGTTACGAGTTCGCTCCTGGTTGGATAGTTTGAGTACCTTTGTAATGTCCCCTTTGTTTAGCCCTGCCTTCCACTTATACACCTCTATCAGGTCGCCCCTCGCTCTACGTCTCTCGAGGGAGTGCAAATTAAGATGCTTTAGCCTGTCTCTATATTCAAGGTTCCTAATGCCCGGGATTAGTCTTGTCATTCTCCTCTGAATTCTTTCCAAGGATTCTATATCCATTCTATAATACGGTGACCAGAACTGAACTGCGTAATCCAGGTGTGGTCTCACAAGAGCAAGATACAGTTTAAGGATGACCTCGCTAGTCTTGTAACTAACACTCATTTGTATGAACCCAAGTACTTTCTTAGCCTTGTTACGAGCAAAAACACATTGTTTACTTGGTTTAAGGTTCCTACTTATCATTACTCCTAAATCTCTCTCGCAGTCGGATTTCTCTATGGCATCGTTGTTCATCTGGTATCTTGTCTCCCTGTTTACATCTCCTATACTGAGTACTTTACATTTGTCGACGTTGAATTTCATCTGCCATTTTTCAGACCATTCGAAAATTTTTTTTAGATCTTCCTGTAGTTTTGCCGAGTCCTCGTCAGATTTAATAACACGCCCTATTTTAGTGTCATCAGCAAATTTACTTATGTTGCTGTCTATGCCGATATCTATGTCGTTTATGTATATAATAAATAATAATGGTCCAAGTACTGAGCCTTGGGGAACACCACTTGTGACGTTG